TAGCTAACGCCCTCACCAAGGCATATAGCTCCTTATCATAAGTTGAGTAGTTCAATGTTGCTCCACTTAGCTTTTCACTAAAGTAGGCAATTGGCTTGGACTCTTGCATCAAAACTGCACCTATGCCCTTACCAGAGGCATCACACTCAACTTCAAAAGACTTAGAAAAATCAGGCAATTGCAAAAGAGGCGCAGAACACAATTTATCCTTCAGCAAGTTAAATGCATCATCTTGTTCCTTTCCCCATGTAAAAACCTTATCTTTTTTAATAACTTCAGTTAAAGGAGCAGCAATGGTGCTAAAGTCTCGCACAAACCTCCTATAAAAACTAGCAAGTCCATGAAAACTCCTAACTTCAGTTACACTATTAGGTTTAGGCCATTCTTTTATTGCCTTGATTTTCTCATCATCTACTTCAACTCCCTTAGAACTGACCACAAAACCTAAGAAAACCACACGATCCACACATAAAGTACACTTTTTGAGATTAGCAAATAAGCGCTGATTTCTAAGAACTTCAAAAACTTGTTTTAAGTGCTCTAGGTGTTCATCCAGATTTTGAGAAAAGATCAAGATGTCATCAAAATACACCACAATAAATTTTCCATGGAAATCTTTAAAAACATGATTCATTAGTCTCATAAAAGTGCTTGGTGCATTAGTCAAGCCAAAGGGCATAACTAACCACTCATAAAGTCCATATTTGGTCTTAAAAGCAGTTTTCCATTCATCTCCAGGATTCATACGAATCTGATGGTAACCACTCTTTAGATCAATTTTAGAAAAGATTTTGGAACCATACAGTTGGTCCAACATGTCATCAAGACGAGGGATAGGATGGCGATACTTTACCGTTATCTTGTTGATGGCTCGACAATCTACACACATCCTCCATGTTCCATCCTTTTTGGGGACCAATAGGACTGGAACAGAGCATGGGCTCATACTCTCTCGAACAAATCCCTTTACAAGCAATTCTTCAACTTGCCGTTGTAATTCTTTGGTCTCTTCAGGATTGCTCCTATAGGCAGGCCTATTAGGAAGTTGAGACCCAGGCACAAAGTCTATTTGGTGCTCAATCCCTCTCAAAGGTGGCAATCCCTTTGGAGTGTCATCAGGAAAAACATCTTCAAAATTCTGCAAAAGAGAAGAAACACTATTTGGCAAAGAAGGAGTTAGTTGTTCAAAATTAATCAATATTTCTTTGTAAGTAAGTAGTATTATGGGCAGTCCCTCTCTCCTAGCATTCAAACACTCTTTGGCTTTTATATAAAGGCTCTCATTTTTCTTTTCCTTAGCCTCTTTCCTCTCACCAAAACATTTTATTTTTTTACTCACACCCTCTTTTACCTCTTTACTTAGATCGCTGCCCTCTCTCTCTTTCTCTCGGCCATCTCTCTTTTTTTCTATCTCTTGGCCTTTTTCTTTTCCCTCAAGCTCACTTTTTACCTCTCCCTTTTGTTTTCCCATTGTTTCCCTCAATCGTTTTTGATCTTCAAACACTTGAGAAGGAGATAATGGTGCAAGAGTATACTTCTTACCATTATGCAGAAGACTATACCTATTCTTTCTCCCATGATGAGTAGTATCCCTATCATACTGCCAAGGTCGGCCAAGTAAAACATGACATGCTTGCATTGGAACTACATCACAAAGAATCTCATCTTCATACCTACCAACATTGAATGAAATCATGCATTGTTTGTTTACTTTTACTTCTCCACAATCATTCAACCATTGGAGCCTATATGGGGTAGAGCGCTTCATGCATGCAATTCCTAGTTTATCCACCAAGTATGAACTCACCACATTTGCACAACTTCCCCCATCAATAATCATAGAATAAGTCTTCCCTTTTATCCCACACCTAGTATGAAACAAATTCTCTCTCTGCCCTTCATCAACACTACCCAAATTGATAGTCATAATTCTCCTAACCACCCCAATTATACCATCATTAGGCAGTTCCAAATCATCTTCCTCACTTACACCTTCTCCCTCTTCTTCTTCCCCCTCACTTTTTTCACTCTCATATTCTCCATTCTCTCTAAGTAGGATGTTTCTTCTACTTGGACATTCATGCATCATATGCCCCCTTCCATGACATTTGTGACATTGAATAGAACTTGAAGGTTTAGAAGATTTAGGATTAAAGGTTTTACCTCCCTCCTCAACCTTACCTTTACCTCTATCATCTTGAGGTTTGGAAGGAGCTTTCCCCTCTTGAGTTGACCATGGCTTCTTAGAGATAGTGTTTGGTCGACTTCTCCATGAGTTATTTTGCTGCTTTTTCTCAATTTGTTTTTCAACTTTTACAGACAAATCAACTAACTCATCTAAAGTTACATATTGTTGTATCTCTACTACATTAGCTATTTCTGTATTTAAACCATTTAAAAATCTAGCTATTGTAGCCTCTTCTTCCTCCATGCAGTTAGCTTGGATCATAGCCATATCCATGCTTTTGAAGTACTCATCCACCGACATGGAGCCTTGCTTCAAGCATTGAAGGCGAGATTGTAGATCTCTTTGGAAGTATGATGGAATAAATCGCTTCCTCATTACCCTCTTCATCTCTGCCCACGTAGCAATAGGTGGTAACTCCTCTTGCAATCTGTCCCTAGCAAGCTTTTTCCACCAAGAAGCAGCATAATCAGAAAACTCAACAACAGCAAGTTTAACTTTCTTACCCTCAGAGTAGTTATGGCAATCAAAGATGGCTTCAACTCGTCTCTCCCAATCAAGGTACAAGTCTGGATCCCTTGTCCCCTTGAAAGATGGCATCTTCATCTTTATACTATTTATATTATCATCTTCTACTCTACCTCTTTGTCCCCTCCTATCTCTTCTTTCTAGATTAAATTCAACATCAAAATCATCATTATCATATTCAGGATTTACAAAAGGGATATGGGGTACATTCCTTCTAACTTGGGGTCTAACATTATTTGGGGGTACAACATTATTCTCCCTCCTAATTGCAGCTATGGTGTCATTCTGCTCGATAATCATATCCCTCATCTCTTGAAATTGAAGGGTCCATCTCTCAAATTGTTGGTGCATAGCTTGAAGGGTGAAGTCGTTCCTTCCTTTGACCTCGGCTTCTAAACGAGCCCTTTCCTCATCACCACCTGAATTAGACATCTAAAAAAAAAAAAAGAATAAATGATCAAGTATCACACTTTTAATATGGCTTTTACCCTCTTTTAAACTCACCCACACTTGCCTTTTTCCACTCAAAATCACCTTTGAACGAGAATACTTTGTAGATTTATAATTAAACCAAAACGTGTATCAAGTTCGTAGTAATAAAGTATGGAATCTTGGGGTACAAAAGAAAGTAAAGAACTAGTCCTAGAACAAGTAGGATTTAGTTGAAACAAAACGCGAATAAAAAGGAACTTATTTTAGAATTATAAGAACCAAAAAAAAAAAATTCCTCTTATTCTTAAAGGTCTAGAATCCCCTCTTCTTGCTACCTTCTTGCTTGGAAACAAATTAATGCAAAACTTGGAGAGCAAGTAATAAGTTTACTTGGAGAGCAAGTAATAAGATTTCTTGAATAGCAAGTAATAAGCTTTCTTGGGTATCAAGTAATCAAATTTCTTGAAGGACAAGTAATCCGATTTCTTAGAGAGCAAGTTATAACTTTTTTTTTTTGTTCACGCAACTGTAATAATTTTTTATTTTTTTCACGACGCTACTGTTCACGCTATTTTTTTTTTTTTTTTTTTTTTTTGTTGCTCTAAGAAGAAATCCCAAGATTTATCAAGAACGGAATCTTGATAGAACCGCTCTGATACCACTTGATAACAGCAAGGTTAAGGGAGATCACAAATAGAGAATTAAATATTAGAATGCGGAAGCACAAAGAAAAGAAACAAAAAAACTAAATAAAGATATGGGAAATTCGAAGGAAAGATCCACGAATTTCCAAAGATTAGATGTTCTAAGGCCTTGAAAAGATCCAAGTAACAACGTATAGATTTATGGAAGAAATCTAACGCCTTTACTTGAGAAAACGAATCAAAACGATAGATTCGGATCTTGACCGCTTTATAAGTAACTAAAGACAATAATTAGTATGTAGAAACTAATCACCTTCTAAAGAATACCAAAAAGAAACCAAAGATATCACAAGAAGAAGTTACTTTATACCTTAAACTATGAAACTAGTAAAGGTTTAAAGATAAATTCTCAAAGAACAAGTCACAAAGGTTCAAAGAACTCTCTCAAATATTATTAATATCAATCTAAATTCCCTTTAATGAATGAAAAGGACTCCTATATATAGGAGAAGGGAAAAACGTCCAAGAAGCCAAACCCTAAAAAAACAATTACAAGGAATCCTACTCTAGAAAGGAAATAAAGTAACCTAACTAGGAACAAATTTAGTACTTCTAGGAAAGCATTAAATGGTACTTAGGAGACCATAAATAGACTAAGGAAAATATTAATAACCTATATATAAATAAATAAATAAGGTAAATCCCAACTAGGAAAAGAATCTTGACAATCTTGGAAAGTTTGACTAGTCTTCTCTCAAAACTTGGGCAGAAAGCAACTCTTGTTGTGGCTGATTCTTGGACTCTTCTTGACCTTTTTTGCACGAAATTGGACCTTAAAATTCCTCATCTTGGGCTTGAATTTGGGCCACCAAATAATTGTAGCATTTGGACAATTCCTCTCCCTTGGGCTTGAGCTCTTCTTCCCCAATAAGAAACCTTTGGATCAGCGATTGAAGCCCATTGAGCTTATCATTGAACTCCTTGGTTTGAGATCTTGTTATGGGCCTCCTTGGAGTTTCTAAAGCGTCATCCTTGTCCTTCAATGGAGTAGAGCTTCCTTGGATGCTATCAATCACAATACACTGCATACCCTTCTGTTCCTTCTGGAAGTACCAATTCAGGTGTAGAAGTTAATTTATTCCTCAGTTCTTGGAAGCTTCTTTCACATTCATCACTCCACTGAAACTTGGTTTCTTTGTGTGTTAGCTTTGTTAAAGGTGCAGCAATGGAAGAGAATCCTTCAACGAACCTTCTGTAATAACCTGCCAATAACTACGAATCTCCGTAGGCATTGTAGGTCTTGGCCAATTTTTCACGCCTTCTATCTTCTGATTATCAACCCTTATTCGTTCATCGGATACAACATGACATAGGAATGCCACAGATTTAAACCAGAACTCACATTTAGAGAACTTTGCATACAATTTACGATCACGAAGAATTTGTAAAACCTGTCGTAGGTGATTAGCATGGTCCTCTTCCGATATTGAATACACCAAATTGTCATCTATGATTACTATCACGAATACATCTAAAAATGGCTTGAACACCCTATTCATCAAATCCATAAAAACTGCAGGTGCATTCGTTAGTCCGAATGACATGACTACAAACTCAAAATGACCATATCGTGTTCGGAAAGCTGTCTTGGGTATATCTTCGTCTTTGACCCTCACTTGGTGATAACCTGACCTCAGGTCGATTTTTGAAAAACACCTAGCAGCTTGTAACTGATCAAACAAATCAGCAATTCTAGGGAGGGGATAATTGTTCTTAATCGTTACCTTATTCAACTGCCGGTAATCGATACTCATTCTTAAGGAGCCATCTTTCTTGCGTACAAATAAAACTGGTGCTCCCCATGGGGACATACTAGGCCTTAGGAATCCGTTTTCTAATAAGTCTTTTAATTGCTTCTTCAACTCCCGTAATTCTGCCGAGGCCATTCTATATGGAGGGATGGATATAGGTTGAGTATCTGGAATCACATCAATACCAAACTCTATTTCTGGTTCTGGAGGCAAACCCGGAAGATCTTCAGGAAATTCATTTACCACTGGAATAGATTGAAGAGTTGGTGGCTCCACATCTATATTTCTCACTCTCACTAGATGACATATGTATCCTTTGGACATCATCTTCTTTGCCTTAAAATAGGAAATAAATTTACCTCTTGGTGTCCCAATATTACCTTTCCATTCAAGGACAACCTCTTTTGGGAAATGTAAATGCAGCATCTTAGTTCGGTAATCTACCATGGCATAACAAGAAGCTAACCGATTAATCCATCCCATTATAACATCAAAATCCACCATTTCTAGCTCAACAAGGTCAGCCAATGTATCACGATCACAAACAGTTACAATGCAATTACGATAAACCCTTCTAGCTATAATAGATTCACCAATCGGTGTAGACACTTCAAATGGCTTCACTAATGATTCTGGTGTTCTTCTGAACGTTTCAGCAATCAATGGAGTTACATGTGATAGTGTAGCCCCTGGATCAATTAATACATATACAATATGTGAAAAGATGGACAATGTACCTGTAACCACATCCGACGAGGCTTCCAAATTTGTCGAACCCTGAGAGCATATGTGATAGCATCCAAGGAAGCTCTACTCCATTGAAGGACAAAGATGAAGCTTTAGAAACTCCAAGGAGGCCCATAATAGTATCTCAAACCAAGGAGTTCAATGATAAGCTCAATGGGCTTCAATCGCTGATCCAAATGTGTCTTATTGGGGAAGAAGAGCTCAAGCCCAAGGGAGAGGAATTGTCCAAATGCTACAATTATTTGGTGGCCCAAATTCAAGCCCAAGATGAGGAATTTTAAGGGCAATTTTCGTGCAAATAAGGTCAAGAAGAGTCCAAGAATCAGTCACAACAAGAGTTGCTTTCTGCCCAAGTTTTGAGAGAAGACTAGTCAAACTTTCCAAGATTGTCAAGATTCTTTTCCTAGTTGGGATTTACCTTATTTATTTATTTATTTATATCTAGGTTATTAATATTTTCCTTAGTCTATTTATGGTCTCCTAAGTACCATTTAATGCTTTCCTAGAAGTACTAAATTTGTTCCTAGTTAGGTTACTTTATTTCCTTTCTAGAGTAGGATTCCTTGTAATTGTCTTTCTAGGGTCCTTGGACGTTTTTTCCCCTTCTCCTATATATAGGAGTCCTTTTCATTCATTAAAGACAATTTAGATTGATATTAATAATATTTGAGAGAGTTCTTTGAACCTTTGTGACTTGTTCTTTGAGAATTTATCTTTAAACCTTTACTATTCATAGTTTAAGGTATAAAGTAACTTCTTCTTGTGATATCTTTGGTTTCTTTTTGGTATTCTTTAGAAGGTGATTAGTTTCTACATACTAATTATTGTCTTTATTTACTCATAAAGCGGTCAAGATCCGAATCTATCGTTTTGATTCATTTTCTCAAGTAAAGGCGTTAGATTTCTTCCATAAATCTATACGTTGTTACTTGGATCTTTTCAAGGCCTTAGAACATCTAATCCTTGGAAATTCGTGGATCTTTCCTTCGAATTTCCCATATCTTTAGTTAGTTTTTTTTGTTTCTTTTCTTTGTGCTTCCGCATTCTAATATTCAATTCTTTATTTGTGATCTCCCTTAACCTTGCTGTTATCAATATGTGCGATTCTGAACTCCACTAGAACTAGTTGCTCCCCTAGCTCCTCTACCACGACCAGTAGGCATCTGTCCTCTACCTAAAGAAGGTGCTGATGACGAGGATGCAACAACTGATCTAGTAGGTTGTGCCACAGCACCAACACCCCTCTGAGGACAATTTCTCATCATATGACCTGTTGTACCACACCAAAAACAAACATTTGTCCCAAACCAACATGCACCTAAATGATTTCTTCCACATTATTTGCAAGACTGTCGAGGAGGTCTTGACTGGCTCATACTTTCCTGCTCTTGGTACACTGCTGTTTGTGAACCTTGGCTTTCACCTCTTTTCCCAAACTGATTGCCCCTAGACTCTTCAAACTAAGGTGGGACACTACATGTAGAGTAGGAAGATGATTGCCTAGGCGGTCTGTTAAAGAACCGAGGCCTAAACTCACCTTGGGATGGTGTAAGCTGTCCCATGGATCTGGGCCTCTTAGAATGCCCTATTTCTGACTCTTGTGTCCTTCTTCTTTGCCTTTGATCCTCCAACTTTTGCGCAAAAGTTTGCATTCTTGCTATATCCATAACTTTATTCAACGAAACAATGGTACAGTCTCTAACCAGATATGAATATAATCTATCCACATATCGATGTACTCTCTCACGCTCATACCTGACCAAGGAATCAAATTTGAGACTGTACTCTCTCACGCTCATACTTCCTTGGTGGAGATTTAAGCACTGATAAGCACGGGACTCTCGGATCTCCAATGGCAGGTAATGGTCAAGGAATGCCATTTTGAACTCTTTCCATGTAGCTGAAGGTGCATTTGTTCCCCTGGATTGCTTCATACCATAATATAACTACACCCTTTAATCTATGTGCTGCTAGCTTGAGCGTTTCTTTACCACTTACATGCATAATATCGAAAGTGTGTTGGATCTGATCAAAAAAATCATGTGGATCTTCATTAGGATCTGACCCGGTGAATAATGAAGGGTCCAGATTAAAGAAATCACGTATCTGTGTGCCAGCTGCTCTATTTACACCACTAGTACCTGCAACTGGACCTTCTTGCCTTTGGCATGGCCAGCAACTATACGAGTCAATAATTGGACCGCATTCCTCAAATCTTGCTCGGTAGCATTAATAGGGGTTCTTGAGGTGCAGCTTCCCTCCTTAGATCATCTGGAGATGGAGGGGTCGGGGAAGTCTGTGAGAGAGACTCGTCTTGAGCCTCACCTTGAACAACTTGACTTGGTGGTGGTTGGCTGGTCCCTTCTTGGGCAGCCACATTTACTCGCTTACCAGTACTTTTGCACCTTCTCGTAACCGGCATCCTTGCTATAATAAAACTATTTAGAAATTTGATATGATTTGCCTACAACACTAGTTCTATAGGACGATCTAAGAAATGAAATAAATGAGACAACTCCAAATTGTTCCGTAGCCTCCTATTTATATATGTGGTGCACAACTGTCACGATCCGATTTCTCAAGTCATGATGACACCTACTATATACCCTACCAGTAGGTAAGCTAACCTGTAACCCAGAACATCAAGTAATGAGCGTAATGGCAGAAACTAGCGAAAACAATAGTTTAAACAAGGACAACAAGATGGAAACAAACCAAAATAAATATATACAGAAATCCCTCCCAGAACCTGGAAGTAACTAGTATAGAGCTATCTAATAAAGAGTACAAGTCCAAAAAGTGGACCACAACAAAGCGTGTCTTAAAGGTAACAAGACTAGCTAAAACAAAGGAGACACGACAAACCCAAAACGCCAAGTGCTCGCCCTCGTCTCCAAATCACAGTTGAAAAAAAGGGCTGGAACTAATCACCGCTGGTAACTGGTATTGGGAGCTGCATCACGAAGTAGATTACACAGTAGGCGTAGTAGGTGCTAACATGACTTAAGAAATCGGATCGTGACAACAACACACCCATAAGCAAGACTCTACACAGACACGACTTTGTAGACTCCCTAGGATAATCTGGCTCTGATACCACTTTTGTCACGTCTCAAATCCCATTAAGACGGACAGGCACCCGATGCCCTAAAGGCCTGAGAGAACCAACATGTAACCAGTGCTTACTATGCGTATAACTATGACAGTCTTGTGACAAGTTCACATAGGATGTAGCGATACGAACCAACATAAGTAGACCCAAAACTTATATACAAGACTTGGCCGTTGAGGCCACAACTTGTTAAGACGCAATTGAACCATAAACATAAGTGTACAAAGCCTCTAAAAGATAGAAAACATTAGAGTAGGTCGGGACATACCCCGCCTTACTCTTAACTACAATACAATACCCAAAATGAATCTACCAAGGACTCAGTAAAGCTTTGAATCAATGTGGAGCTCACCAAAAGTAGCTGAGTGTCATGTGTTCCTACTGAGGAGGTCTACTAGCTGAAGTACATGTGTCTGCAGCATGAAATGCAGCGTCCGCCGCGAGGGACGTCAGTACGAGAAAATCTACTGAATATGTAAGGCAATAACATATATAAAATAAGAGTTCGAATGAAACCAAGTATCAATTTATGTGCATAAATCAAAACAGAAGACCACATTTGTTAACTCTTGTGGGATCATGTATGTTACGTTCTTGTCTTTACCTTTCTGCCACTATGTTTCCTTTACTAGGAATAGAACTTAGGAAATTCACTTATTGATTTTAATCTCAAGTATCAGATTTCATACCAAAGAAAATTGAATCGAATACATACCTTATCCTCTGATCAATACAACTATCACGATTTAGCCTCCCATTTTAGGTTTTAATCTACAATATAAGACATGATAAATTTAAATTAGCAGCTATCACACCATGAGCCTCGTAAAACAGTAGCTAACTTCGACGGATAATGATCCCATACAGCCCTTAAAACAATGTGTATCACCACACCCTCCTTCTCTGCCCAATATATAAATTATATATCCTTTTCCAAGATTACCCAAATTGCACCAACAACAATACACATAAAACAACCTCAAATATTCTTTATCATACAACCAATTATTGAACTCACCACCCCCCTTGAGTTCTTTATGACAACACACCCATAATTCCTCACTCAAACTCATACATAAGGAGGAAGAAAATGGAGCAGTCACCTTACCTCAACTTGAGCAACTTCTCCTTATAACTTGCCTCTAGAACTTCAACTTCCCTTCATACTTAAAACCAAAGAAGAAGAGAAAAGTGTCTTAATAACCAAGGAAGTGAGCAGCAGCTTCTGGAAATATTATGCCTTTATACCTAGACTTGAGCATGAATAACATATTTTCCTAATCATCCATGGGAGAATTAAGCAAAATCCATAAGCGTTTTCACTTACCTTGTCTTGAGAGATGAGGGTTTCTTCAAGAACCCTAGAGGAACTTTAAGGTTGCTGTTTAATCCTTAAGAGAAAAGAGTGAGAAAGAGCTGGAGTTAATCCTCAATAATGTGCGTTAAAATGAGTGAAAATAGCAGCCAATATATCTTTATATTGAGCTTGCTTTACCTTTAAGCATATCCACTAGAAAGCTTCATTTTCAATCACTAATTGGTCAAGTAAGTGATGCACCTACTTATGTACATCAAGTAGCTCAAAAGGTCAAACTAGGTGATGCACTTACTTGCTTTCACTTGGGCTTAAATATTGGGCAATGACAGATTTGGCTGCTGGGCTTAAATTTCATTTTCCTTTTATTTAACTTAGTTTGGGCGTCAAGTGAGTCCATTAGCATAGGCCTAAATCTGATCCATAAACCTTGGCCTTTAAAACTAGATCGATATACCTCAAGTAGGTGATGCACATACTTGGTCCTTTGGACTGGTCAATAAGTCAAAGTAGGTGGTGCGCCTACTTGTCACCTACTAGCATAGTAAGTCAAGCAAGCAGCTCACATAGTTTATTCAATTTTCTAAATATTAATCTCATTTTCTTTCACTTGGCACTTAACTTTCAACTTTAAGCTCAATTACCACCTTACTGTCTCTTTAAATACTCCCGTTGGAGTTAACTTGCAGTAAACACGCTGAAACGTGCAAGGCTGATTCACATCACCTTCTGAGCTAGTTTAAACCAACACTAATCATATAAGATTCATGGTCCCTCACCTATACTATAAGGCTATGTCAAGTATCACAGGAATATAACAAGAATATGCGTATTACGGGCTGTTACAACTCTAAAGTCTAAACCTTAAACCCTTATATACATTAATACCCTAAAACATAAGATCCTAAACCCTAAACCCCAAAAAATCACTAAGAAAACCTAAACCCTAAACCCTAAGAAACCCAAAATCGTAAAGCCTTAAAAATCATAAGCCCAAAACCCTAACCCTAAGGAAACCTCAAACCCTAAACCCAAAAAAGCACTAAGGAACCCAAAACCCTAAAAAGCAACAAAAAAAAACTTCAAAAACTCTAAACCTAAAAAACCTCTAAAAAATCTTAATACCTAACAAACCTAAACACTATTCTAGAAAAACCCTAAACCAAAAATACTAAACCCTACACCCTAAATGACCCAAAAAAAACCTAGGAGACCTTAAATGTTCAACTGAGAAAAACTAAGAAATCCTCTAAACACTAAACCCTAAGAAATCCTAAATCCTAAGAAAAACTAAACACTAAAAAACAACAAAAACTTTAAAAACTCTAAACCCAAAAATCCTCTAAAAAATCTTAAACCTAAACCCTAAACCATACAAAAACCCTAAACCTAAAAGACTAAACCCTAAACCCTAAACCCTACACCCTAAATGACCCAAAAAAAACCTAGGAGACCTTAAATGATAAACTCAAACCCTAAGAAACCTAAACCCTAAACCTTAGGGATAAACCCCAACTCTAATCCTTATGAAACTCTAAGAAGCCCTGAACCCTAAGAAATCAGAAATCCTAAGAAAAGCTAAACACTAAAAACCTTTAAAACCCTCAAAACTAAAAATACCGAAAACAAACCTTAAAAACCATAAAAAAATTCTTTAATCAAAAACCCTAAGTCCTAAGCCCTTAGAACTCATATATCGTAAAAACAATAATGATCCTAAAAAATCTTTAACAATCCTAAATTGAAAAAAACTCTTGACCTAAAAAACTCCTAGAAAAACTTAAGCTCTAAACCCTAACATAAAAACCCTTAACCGAATACCTAAACTCATATTCATCATGTTCAGATTATATCATTGTTCAATATGCTTTATTCAGCTATATATATATATATATATTTATTCAGCTTTGTCATATCATGCATGCTCAGTACCTTTCAAGTACTGATACATACTCTACGTTACATCTTCTCTTGATGTAGGTTCAGGTCCTTAGCATTCAGATCATGTGAAGATCGATTCCCGATCTGTATTCAGCAACATCATTGGTGAGTTGTTATTTTTCGAGGATGATTTACTTGTATCTATATTCAGTTTTTCATTTTAATTTTAGTTTAGCTAGAGTTAGCTGGGGGCATGTCCCAGCATCTCTAGTCAGTTAGAAACTTTTACTCATACATTGTTTATGTCACTCCCCGAGGTTACCCCCTTGACGTAACACAGGATCTAGGAGCACGAGTGATCCCAAGCTAACCTTGAATTGGCATATCATAAGCATATTAGATGTTACCTTTAATAGCCTAAACCAAAGAAATCTGAAACACCTAAAAAAACTCTAAACCCTACGTAACACTAAACCCTAAATGTTAGGGAAACCCCTATACCCCAAGACCTATGAAACACCAACAAACCATAAACCCTAACAAATCCTAAACCATAAAAACACCTTTAAGAACACTAAACCTAAAAAAAACCCTCACCCCTTAAAACCTTAAATCTAAAATCCTAA